ATATTCTGATAGGCTAATAAGATAAAATTATCATTGTTGGCATAAACACATAGACACAGGTACAAGACCATAGACAATCCTTCTGTGGCAGATAAAGCTAACCACATCCCCATCAAAAAGGAAACCTGGGAAAGAATATTTTAGGGGGTCATGTCACCCAGCTTAGTTAACTAATAACGAACCAATAGAGATAACTACTACACAGCTGATATTTCTTATATAAATAAGCCAAAAAACAATGAAATACTCAGCACAATAATGCCAGGAGTAGTCACATTAGTAAAAGGAGTATGATTTTATCACATTATACTAGGCTGGTTGTCTTGGGGAATACTTACTTTAATAAGAGATGTTTGCTTCTCAGGTAATTGTGAGAAAATTGGGCATAGCTCTCACTAATCTGGAATTTGAGTATCTACTCTCTCCCACCTTATAAAAGAAGAAAAGCAGCTTAGTCCTGTCCTTTCAGGTTGCAGTTCTGGGTAGAAGAGATTCTCCCTGATAAAATGGCTTACAGCCAAGGAAATACAATTTCAATTAAGGTAAAAAGAATTTCCTGGGCCAGGCGCGGTGGCTCAAGCCTGTAATCCCAGCACTTTGGGAGGCTGAGGCAGGTGGATCACGAGGTCAAGAGATCGAGACCATCCTGGTCAACATGGTGAAACCCCGTCTCTACTAAAAATACAAAAAATTAGCTGGGCATGGTGGAGCGTGCCTGTAATCCCAGCTACTCAGGAGGCTGAGGCAGGAGAATTGCCTGAACCCAGGAGACGGAGGTTGCGGTGAGCCGAGATCACGCCATTGCACTCCAGCCTGGGTAACAAGAGCAAAACTCCGTCTCAAAAAAAAAAAAAAAAAAAAAAATTTCCTGAGGAAAATGTAGAGAGATAGATAATGCCCTGAAAAACTGGCCTGGTCAAGCAGGCTACTGTGAGGGGACAGTGGGAGAGTGGTAGTTAGGGGAGAAGGTTGGGAATAGAGTATATGTATCTAAGGTTCTAAGGTCGTTTCCTCTTGTGAAATTCAAAGTAACAAGTAAGCTGTATAAATCCCCTACATCTGTTCTTCTTACACCACACTTGACAAAATGTACCTGACCCTTAGCTGAAATAATTGTACACTTCTGCATAGTCCAATTACTAGTCCTAAAGGTAGGTGAGGTCGTATGTACCTAGGAAAGAGATGGCAGCTACTTTTTAATTATCTTCCAGAGAATCCAGCAGAGAAATCACTAAAGAGATACCTGTTCCTTCTATTGATTATCAGCATATTATCTCTTAGTATTGTTAAAACAAGATTTATAGGATGCAGCTGCTCAAATTTCCGAAGCATGGAATTTCCTACTTTATCTCATAGATCAACAAGACACCATCCTATAAAACAGTAAAAGAAGGGTTTACCACACGCTACTTAATGCTCTCTAAGCAAAGTTACAAGTTACAAGAGTTTTAAATTATGCTATATGTGGCTCTATATATTTTAATTTTATTTCAAGATTACTGTTTGTTTTTTAACTTATGTGTTATAGTATTCAGCTAAAAACTAAGAATAATGGAGTAAAGATCATGGTTATTACCCTCAAGCAGTTCACATTTTAGTGAGGCTGCCAGATAAGTTAACATTAACTACAATACAGAATCACTATAAAAGTCATTAAGGAGTCAGAGAAGAAAAACCTGAGAAAGCGTAGAGTCAGTGAACAACTTAAGCTGAATCTCAAAAAAGAAATATGAATTAGCCAAGTTAAGAAAGAAAACAGTGTACTGGCAAATGTATCAGCAGATACAGAGGCACAGAGTTGAGTGAGCGTGAACTTAGGAAAACTGTAAAGTTGAAATTGCTGAAATGTAGGTCAAGTGGAGGTGGAGGTGTGGGTGACGAGGCAAGGCCCATAGCATGAAGAACATTATGAACGATGTTAAGGAGTTTAGATTTTAACCTTGATGTTATGAGGGGTTTTTTTTCCCACAAATAACGTAATAAATCTTAGAAGGGCCACTCTAGCCACAAGATAGAAGATGGATTGAAGACTGAAATAAGGAGAAACAAGTAATATTTTATAGGTTTAATTCAAAATAGAAATAATGAGAGCTTGAACTAAGTCAAGGACTGCTAAATGGAAAAGAGGAACCAACCAAAGAGGCACTGAGAAGACAGAATCATTAGCTGTTAATGATCCACAGGAGTAGTCAGGGAGAAAAGAAAGAATCTAGAAAAAAAATTAAAAAATAGAAAAATAAAAAAGAAAGAAAGAATCTAGAATAATTCCAAAACTTATAGTTTGTCATAGACTAATAAGGAATTTTTAAAAACGGACCAGAACCAGTGGAAAAAATTATGAGCTCAGACACTAAAAACTTCAGATACCAGAGACTGTCTAGGTAGAGATGTTCAAAAAAGTAATGGGTTATGACTCAAGGACATCAACAACAACAAACAAAGAATTAAAAAGAAAAGAAAAATAAACAAAAGTGACTGACAGTGCTGAAAGCCAAAAGATTAGGAGAAAGCTCATCTTAGAGATATAAATCACCCATATCGCTGAAGATTTCCTTCTGGGAGTCATCAGAATCAGAATATTGTGGTCTATGGACACAAAAGAGAAAGTACATATGAGAAAAGCAACAAGCAAAGGATGGAAAGTACAGTATATAAACATTTAAAGATGTTTAGAATGAGGACTCAGCTCTGATTTGTTTTACCTTGCCCAAATTCCTATCTAAGAGGTCTAGGGAGTCATGTCCTACAAACCAATAAATTCTCATCAGAAGGGTTTTATTTAACCCTATATATCATGGTTTACTTTCCAATCGGACTCTGGCATAATATTATGAGACAAGGAAGAAAATCAAAATGTTTTACCCAAAAATATATTTCCTTACCATACTTTGAAATTGCCCTGCAAAGTCTCTTGTGGGAAAAATCTACATTCTATAGAGAATACCCTTTCCCCTTTGTTTTCCTTTCTTTCCAGATCCAGGATATAATCAAGTAAGAACCACACACCCTTTAAGTCTGGTAAGAAGCATTTTACAACCTGCTATCTCTCTGAAGTCTGCTATCTGACGGTTTCCTCGGCACAATAAAACTTGGTCTCCACAATCCTTTATCCTAACCTAAACATTTCCTTTGATGCCTGGTCTTCATATAAACTCAACCAATTGTCAACCAGAAAATGTTTAAATTTACCTATAGCCTGGAAGCCCCCACTTTGAGTTGTGCCACTTTGAAAGAAACCAATGTATTTCTTAAGTGTATTTGATTAATGTCTCATGACTCCCTGAAACACACAAAACCAAGCTGTACCCCAACCACCTTGGGCCAATGTTCTCAGGAACTCTTGAGGGCTGTGTCACAGGCCATGGTCACTCATATTTGGCTCAGAATAAATCTCTTAAAATATTTTACAGAGTTTGACTCTTTTCATCAACAAGAAGCATAAAAACATTTAAAGAAGACCATGAAGGACTGCTTGGAGAGGGGGAGAAAATGATGCTCTGATTCAGCATTTAACAAACGTTTATTAGGTCCCAACTACATGCCAGACACTCTTCCAAGACAGTAGTTGGAAAAAGAACCAGGAGAAAATGATGTTACTTTTGGAAAGAAGTGTTTCCAAGAAGAAAGTGGTCAGTTGTGTCAAAATTAAGAATTGCACAGTGTCATAGGTAGTCATTGTTAGCTACCTATGACTATTATTGGGGGAATTAGTACTTACAGTAGCTCAACTCCATTAAAATAAAGACATAGAATAAGCTGCAAGAATAGTGATATCAGATGCTGTGAAGCAGTATAATTCAAAATTTCAAACACTGACAGAAGACAAATTTGTTCTCCACCCCAAGAAACCTAAACCAACCCTTATCTGATAGTTACATAACAGAATAATAGGATCCTGGCATTTGCTTCAAAATACATAGTGTAGGTATGGGGGAAATTCAGGTTAAGAAAAACCATCATTTGGATGGTATTAAGCTCCAGAAATCAGAGTAGAAAAAGTAGAAAGCAAATTTGATGTATTTATTTAAAGTTCTGTCTAAGTCACTAACTGCAAACCAAACGAGGAGGGCAAATTATTTTTATTTTTGAAATGGAGTCTTGCTCTCTTGCCCAGGCTGGAGTGCAGTGGCAGGATCTCAGCTCACAGCAACTCCACCTTCCAGGTTCAAGCAAGTCTCCTCCCTCAACCTCCTGAGTAGCTGGGATTACAGGCACACACCACAATACCGGGCTAATTTTTTTCTATTTTTAGTAGAGACGGGGTTTCACCATGTTGGTTGACCAGGCTGATCTTGAAATCCTGACCTCAAATGATCCGCCGCCTCGGCCTCCCAAAGGGATTCTCCTGCCTCAACCGGCTGTAAATAAATAATTATTTACAGCCGCTTCCGTGCCCGGCTGTAAATCATTAATTAAATTATCCTTCCCACTCCACTGGTCAAAAATATAGCTTTCCGTTACAGAATGTGGAGAAGAGGGTCACCCCTGACGTGTGTTAAAAAAGAAGATGAGGACGGTCAGAAACATCTGAGAAAAAAAAACGGAACTAACTTCAAATAATACTGCAAAATATAAATAAAAGTTAAATCTTAGTAAATAAATGTCTCTGGTTAATGGGAGGAAAGGTGTGAGGCAGACAGGATTACAAAGCAAAGAGACAGCAGGAGGTAAGGGCACAGGATTTGGAGACTCATAGAGTCAACAGAGCCAGGAAATCAAAATCCTAGACCTAAACTTACAATCAAAATTAAGATGTAGACAACTATTGTATAATCAAAAGTTCTAGCCATATGCTCAGCAGCCTCGTGAAATGAGACAAGTGATAACATTAGTCTTACCTGTAAAAGAAAATGATAGTGTTTTCCCTGACCACTTCATGTTTTGTTACACTTGCAAAATGGTGCCACTCCGCTCTATGTTTAACTCACAAGCACACAGAAGCGGAGCGGGCTGAAGATGGGATGCCTGTCACAGGAGGTGGGCCTCTCCCTACAACTTACCTGTCGCCTGCTGCTTCAGGAAAGGTACCTGGTAGGATCCAGGACCCACATGGGCCTCAGTGCTGCCACCTTCAGCCAGTTTGAGCAGGCGGGGAGCCCGGTCATACATGGTGCTTGGGGTAGTGGGGGCGCTGGGGAAGGTGCGGAAGGGCAGGTGCGGAAAACGATAAAAACAAGGCGGCTAGAGAAGGTGTGGAGAAAAAGGAAACGAACACCACACTGAGGAGGCCAGGACGCAGCTTCCGCAAAGAGAGAAAACAGCGTTGGGGTTGTCTCCCCGCCCGCTCATTGGTAGCAGATTTCCTCAAATCGATTTCTAGCCCTGTGGTAAAGTAGAGGGGTGAGCGACTAGAGATTAGACGTCTCACAAAATCATCAGTTTGCCAGGTACACTCCACGAAAATTGAGGATTAGGGATGAAGTCTCCCGCCCGGTGCTTCCGGCCCTCACTCCGCCCGCTTCTGCCCGCCCGGAAGCCTGGGGAGCAGGCGGGCGCAGTCTCTGGAGAGCGCAGTGGCGGTGCCTTCGCGGGCCGAGCCCTCGGAGCATGCGCACCGAGCCGCGAGACTTTCCCAGCTGGCTCCACCCGGAGCCCTGCGCGCCTTAAACGAGGTGGGGCCAAACCTCATAGCCCTTTTGACCCGGGTAACTTCTTGGGTCCCGAACTTTTTTAAGAACAGAAGAACCCTGGAAAACGCGTTAGGAAGGTGAGGACTAACTTGACCTTGATTTGTTTCCCGATTCAACAAAACCTAGGGAAGGAAAAAGCAGTAGCATGAAGCAGAGAGCTTGAGTTCCACAAGCTCTCCGCGGCTCCGGCAGCTCCACTCGTACTCACAGAGAAAAAGCACCTCTGATCTTATCCCGTAGGTAGTCCAAACTGCCAAGACAAACCCACGGGTCAGGGCGGTGACAAGAAATGGGGAGCCCAGAAAAAAAAAATCTCAAGGGTAAAAAAGGAAAAAAAAATGGGGAACCCAGGGAAGGAGGCGAAAAGCTCACAACTGAAGTCGTGCACTTGACTGAAAGCAGCAGCTTTTGTCGGATGCCAGACAACCACAGTATTGATTCATCTCTGTTTATAAAGCAAAGCGAGGGCACTGAAAAAGCCCAGTCCACCCCCAGTAAACCAGTGGGTCTCAACCTTTGGGCAAAAGAAGCCTAGCTTGTCCTTGGGACTTAAGGAATCTATGTCCGAATCCAACTCTGCTTCTCCCCGGCTGTTTTTTCCAGCAAGAATTCTGTCCAGATTCTAAATATCCTCAAAGGCTTAGACAAATCCTACCTTGTTCATACCTTGCCTCCAAATGATCTACAGTACTTAAATTTTTCCCTGCTACAAGATTTTATAGTTTTCATACTCTGTAGTACATACACGATTTGCCACTCAATTCTGTGCAACATTTACTGTGGCTTAATTGTGCCATGCATGTAGGGACCCTCTCCTTGCAAGGTTATATGCTTCTCAAGGATGTATCTGTAATACCTTTTTTTCTGTTCAATAGCTAGCTAAATTATTTATTCACTTAAAAAACTCGAATTGGTTTATACTATAGGTTCCATACCCTGCTAAGTTATGAGGATACAAAGGCATAAGAAAGTCCCTGTCCTCAGGTGTTCTCTAATGGGAAAAGAGACGAATAATCCAAAATAAGAGTTGATACAGATTTTTTTTTAATGGTAGGAAAACGAATATTGCAGTATTTTGGAAATCTCTCAGCAACTTCAATTCTCCCTGGATTCTGGGAGAAACCCTCACAATTCTCTCAATGTTATTTTAACCTTTTTTTTTTTTTTTTTTTTTTTTTTTGAGACGGAGGTTCGCTCTTGTTTTTTAGGCTGGAGTGCAATGGCGCGATCTCGGCTCACCGCAACCTCCGCCTCCTGGGTTCAGGCAATTCTCCTGCCTCAGCCTCCTGAGTAGCTGGGATTACAGGCACGCACCACCATGCCCAGCTAATTTTTTGTATTTTTAGTAGAGACGGCGTTTCACCGTGTTGACCAGGATGGTCTCGATCTCTTGACCTCATGATCCACCCGCCTCAGCCTCCCAAAGTGCTGGGATTACAGGCTTGAGCCACCGCGCCCGGCCTATTTTAACCTTATTTTTGAAGCTGACACCTATACCCATTCAGAAGATCTAGATTTTTACCATGACATATTAGAGTCACAGAGATGAAAGAGAAAAATTCATATGCTCTGCATGATAATCTAGTGGTGCTTGTAAATTTGCCCCCTATTGCACATTCCTTAAGGACATCATCTGCCCTTGATGATCCAAACAAGGATATCAATCCAAACTGCAAACTCAGGTGTAGGCCATGGTTGCCGTAGGCACTGATGCAGACTTTCACGCCCTGTCTGGCCATTCTGTCTGCAGCAGCCTACATTACTCTTTGCTTGGATATACATATTTGTTGGAGACTGGAGATGGAAAGAGTAAAGCAGGCTTTATATGCTTTCTGTCTGATTTTATTTTCAGCCATTGAACCTAACTTAATTTAGACAAAGGGAGTTCTTTGTAGCATCCCTCCTAGCTCATTTGCAGACCTCTAAGGGAGAGTTTCTGACTGAGTAACAGCTGGGAATACATTGTTTCTTTACCTTGCCTGCCTCCTGGATGAATGCTTTTTCCTCAAGGACTTAGCAGAGAAGGGTAGTTGATCAATGGCAGGAATCCAGTGTTTCTGGGTCTTCTTGTCAGATCCTATCTAAATATCACACCATTGAAATGCAACCTATATATTCTTCACAATTTGGTAATACTTGGGCTCTCAAAATTCTTCACTCTTAACAAAAAAAAATATATATGTATTTCTTTTAAAAGTTTCTACTATGAGGCCAGGCGCAGTGGTTTACACCTGTAATCCTTATTCCTAGCACTTTGGGAGGCTGAGACAGGAGGATTGCTTGAGGCCAGAAGTTCAAGACCAGCCTGGGCAACACAGAAAGATTTCACTTGCACACACACACACACAAAAAAATTAAAAATTAGCCAAGCAGGAGTTTGAGATTACAGTGAACTATGATGGTGCCACCATACTCCAGCCTGGAAGACAAAGCAAGACCTGTCTTAAAATTATTTTAGTATGAAAATTTCTATTTCTTTAGTCAATGTGGCCACTTCCTCTATATTTCCCAGCTATTATTTCCTCCTTATGGTTTAGTAACGAGAATGGTGCACAGTATTTCAAGCTTGGAAGATACTTTTTAATGAGAAAAATAAATCTTTTTCATTATTTCTCATTGTAAATATTTATTCAATAGTCTGGAATTAGAATACTGCTAAAAAATTAACATGTTAACACGGAATTATAATTACATATAAATATGAAATAATTTGGTTCAGCATTTCTCAATTCCTGCAAAACAGTTTTAATGCTAATTAAGCACACTATATGACCACTTTACTATATTAGTAATTCCATAATGAAAACTAAGTTTGAGCTAAGATTTATTTGAGTTCAAAATTTGGGTTCTTTCCGTTTCTCCCTGCTGGCTTATACCAGAATAAACTTCAAAATGAAGCTTGAACAAGAACAAGTTTCAATAAATCAAACTAATTCATTATTGAATATGTTGCCTGCAATGAAGAACAGAAAAAGGACATTAGGTTAAAAACTAAAGAAATCCAAATAAAATATGGAATTTAGTTGATAACAATCTATTAATATTGCTTATTTCTTCCTATTTGCTAATTCCATCTGCACATACACACACACACAAATTGTTTTTGAATACAGGCTCTTGCTTTGTCTTCCAGGCTGGAATACCATGGCACCATCATAGTTCACTGTAATCTCAAACTCCTGCCTGCTATAGGAGCAAATAGCAGAAATTATCTATGGGTTATAGGTTGGGTATCTCTCTGTACTTTATAATTTTTCTGAAAATCTAAAGCTTTTCTGAAATAAACTTTTACTTTAAAAACAGGCATGAATACCAGAAGAAAATTAATTCCAATGGTATTTGAAATATTCCATATCATAAAGAAATAATTCCTTCCATTTTATTCATGAATGTATATAATTTTAATACTAAAACATGTTCAAAAATCTACCAAAAAAGAATAGTACAATCAATCTCTACCATAAATATGTATCTAACAAATAAAATGAAACAGTAGCAAACAGAAACTAGCAATGCTTTTATAGGATAATATATTGACACCAAATAGGTAAATTCTGTAATTGCTTGGATAATTCAGTTTTAGAAAACCACTACGTAACCTTCTACGTTAATTATCAGAGAAAGCAATATATGTTCATATCAATAGATGAAGAAAAGACAGTTGAGTGATCCTCCTACCTAGGCCTCCCAAAGTATAAAAAAAAAAAAAAGAAAAGGCATTTGATAAAATTAAAGGGCTATTTCTAATGATAGTTCTACATTTAATGGAAATTGAGGAATGCTATTTTAATATAATAAAAAGTACCTTGAAAATTAAAATCAGTAAGTATTATCCCAAACGGCAAATACTTAAACTGTTTCAATTAAAATTAAAGACAAATAGAAATGCCTCTGTCATAATTGTTATTATCTAATAATAGTGTGTCAGGCTTGCTTCGACAGTACATACACTAAAATAATGGTGTGTCTATTGAATACAACAAAATTAAGTAAAATAATGGTATTAATTGGAAAGCAAGATATAAAAATATCTCTTTTTGCCTATGATGTAATTGGATACCAAAATAGTACAGGAAAATGTAATAAATTACCCTAGAATTACAAGAGAATTAAGTGCAGTGACCATATTCAAGTTAAATACATAAAAATCAGTAGTTTTTATCTATTCTAACAATTTCCTAAAAAGGAAATTGGAAAAAAAATTATTTTCAATAAAGGCAAAAATAATATATATATATATATATAAATTTTAAAAAATTACAAAGGCAAAATTAATGACAGAATTATGCAAAGGAAAGGCATAGAATCTAAACAAAGAATATATGAACAAATGGAAAGGCATCAAAGTTAAGTAGAAAAACAATATTAAAGCATTAGTTCTCCACAAATTAATATATTATCTTTTATAATTCCAATTAGAATCCATCTGATTTTTTGATATACTAATGTGGGGGAATAGAGAGTATGAAAAAGAAAAATAGTGAAGAATAACTCTGATTTCCATAAATCAGAATATACAGTGGCTATAAAGCCATTCTAACTAGGTCAATGTGGCATTGGCATAGAAAAGACAAATAGATCAGAAGAACTAAGAAAGAATCCAGAAATGTTTCCTAGTGTATGTATTTTAATTTGCTCGTGTGTGTGTGTACGTACATGTGTGCGTGTGTGTGTGTGTGTTGTGTTTGTATGTTCCATGAAAACTTTATTTATGGGCACTGAAATTTGAATTTCATATGAATTTCACATGTCATGAAATATTATTCTTTAAAAAAAAAATTTTCAACCACCTAAGAATGTAGAAAACATTTTTGTAATGATATGAGAATAAGGA